AATGAACAAAATAAGTAGGTGCATGGAATATAAAAAAGAGGAAGATGTTTATTGATTATGCCAATAGTGCACAAATAACAACGAACAGGTTAACAACTTGTAGTATGTAAAAAGGGGAATTCATAGATAAAAAATAAATATAAGATAAAACAGGAGGAGGAAAATATAATAAAAATAACAATCAAAATATAGAAATAAACATAAACAAATCACACACAACAGAAGGAGGAAAAAAGAAAAGAGGAGAGAAAAACAAATAATTAGTATAGAATAAAATCTAACCATTCTAGTAAACAAAATTACAACAATGAAAAAAAAACCCTATACTAAAATAAAAAGTGTAATACATGAGATCATTGATATTGAAATGCACATATTTGAGCATCAACATTAACAAATACATAATATCCTATCTCATTTATATATATCAAAATAACACTAACTTTAATTACATTTTGAATAAAGATCCAACACGTTTTGCGTTTTTTCAGCTTTATAAAACATAACCTATTTTCCAGTGTTTCCAGGAGGTTTTGTTTTTGTCAATTATACGAAAAAAACCTTCTTGGTTACTCTTGCAAAGCTAATCAGTTACGTTACGACCAAACATACGGGCTTATTAGATTAACAAAAAATCATATTTTTGGCTTTAACAATCAAACATTTAAATTACCCGGCTATTCAAGGGTAAATTAAATTGCCATAAATTATCGCTATCTGTGTGAGTTTACACTGCCATTGCTAGCTCCGGCAGTGGCGTCAGTCAGTAGGGGCTTGGACGTGAGCCGTAGGTTGCCGGTTGCAAGTCCCCGAAGGAGACTAAATAGGACTTGTGGACTGCTACTTGGAAGTCCAGTTCACCCTCCAGCCCTCGCCGTGTGGCCCTTGAGCAGGCACCGGACAACCCCCTTCTCCCTCCGAGTCGGGGTCTTTCAAGATGGCTAGGCAAGATCCTTCATCATTTGGAGAACGAATAATGGGAACGAGGCCTAGCAAGTGTGCAGGTGGTTGCGTCAATATGAGAGTCATTGAGAAAGCTCCCGCTTCCGGCAAAGATTTTGGAAATAGGTCCGTGCGCAAAGCAGTTGTGGGGAATTATAAGACCGCCGGAGGATACACCGGTGCATCCGAAGATTTCCGGCAACAAGGGATTCAGTCTCGGTAAGAATCCAAGCATCCTGGACATTGGACACAGTCCCTCGGCGGACTCCGATGACATAGCATCTTGAAATAGTGGGTCAGGAGGACCTTCCTCGACATTGAGAAACACGCCAGTGACTCTAAATGGGGCCTTAAATTCCCTTTATCCTCAGCGATATCCACAGGGCAGACATGACCGCTGCGGCTGTTTGAGTACGGCGGCTTCCCCCCCGAGAGCAACTACCTGTCCTGGGGACTACTGGACCGGGGGAAGCATCCCTCTGAACCATCGTGCCCTGCTGCTGGCCTACAAAATCAAATACCCCGAGAACTTCTTCCTGCTGAGGGGGAACCACGAGTGTGCTTCAATCAACAGAATATATGGCTTCTACGACGAGTGTGAGTCTCCTCGGAGGACGTTGGCATTTTATTTTGTAGTCAACATATTTAAAGTGTTTAAAATAGTTGCATTTAAACATTTTCTTTAGGATAAATGTGCTTTTTTTGTAGCGTGAAATGGCCTGATGTAGGATTAAGATACTTGCCTTATTTGTTCCTTTTCTATCAATGTTTTAAGGGCATTTTGGGGATTTCTTGAATAATTGTTTCCCTTTCTCCCCCTTTAATTTCTGAAGCGGATTGTAGTAGTTCTAGTTTTATATAATTTCTGTGTTTTGTCTCTTGTATTTCATACTGTGTGGCTAAAGCACACTTTAAAGTCTGCTTCGAATCAGAAGTCCCTTATTCATCCCACAGCAGGGACATTTACACTGTTCCGGCAAAGTAGATGAACAGCATGATAAGTAACATATTAGAGAGGCAAACACACACTTACAAAGAAAAACAAATAAGTACACAAGTACACAAAAACAAATAAGTACACAACCATGAACAGAAATAAGATGCAGAGGTGTTTGGTGATTGTTCGCTAGACTATCACAGCTCGTGAAAAGAAAGGAAAAAATACACAGAACAGAACAATTGAAAACACAAAAAAATGTAAAAAACTTTCATGATAACGCGAAATTTATCATGTTGACGTTTTTTAATGTTATCGCTAGGCTTTTTTTTAGGATTCTAAGAAGATCTCTAAGGTTTACACTTGGAAATTTATTTTTATAAAATGTTGTATTCATTTATTATTTCTTCTTGCTCTTTAGGTAAAAGAAGGTACAACATCAAGCTCTGGAAGACCTTCACAGATTGTTTTAACTGCCTCCCCATTTCCGCCATTGTTGATGAGAAGATCTTCTGCTGCCACGGAGGTGGGTTTGAGTTTTTATTGGAAGTAAAATCAATATTTAAGCTCTAGCCAAATTTAATGGATATTGCTTTTACACAAGGAACTACAGCACGGTCACATGACTTCACGTCACCACCGCTAAGCTAAAGGTGGCTAATGTTGGGCTATAAAGGAACTACAGCACGGTCACATGACTTCACGTCACCACCGCTAAGCTAAAGGTGGCTAATGTTGGGCTATAAAGGAACTACGACACGGTCACATGACTTCACGTCACCACCGCTAAGCTAAAGGTGGCTAATGTTGGGCTACAAAGGAACTACAGCACGGTCACATGACTTCACGTCACCACCGCTAAGCTAAAGGTGGCTAATGTTGGGAGTGATTATGTTTAGTCGTCCCATTAGGCAACCGCTGTTTTTACATTTACCAGTGGCCTACTTACTGACATGTTTATATATAGAATTTTAAATATCTTCAGCTTGTTTTAACCCCAGACTTTATTTCAGGCTTACAATCAAAAACTCATTAACTTCAAGACAAGGAAAACTAATTTCCAGGTTTTAGGACTCCAAAGCACCTTTGCCCCTCATGTTTGTCCTCGAGATAATGTGTTTGCAGTTTCAGGTTCAGGTTCAGGTTCAGGTTATTTATTTCTACCTGTAGTTCGATTCAGTTTGCAGGTAAAAGACAAGGGAATGCCAGCAAATACAATGACGGCTTCAAAAAACTTTTCAGAGTTTTACGGGGCGTGGTTTGCAATTCGCCCAGCCAATCAGAAATTGGTAACCAATTTCTGATTGGCTGGGCGAATTGCAAACCACGCCCCGTAAAACTCTGAAAAGTTTTTTGAAGCCGTCATTGTATTTGCTGGCATTCCCTTGTCTNAGAGAGAGAGAGAGAGAGAGAGAGAGAGAGAGAGAGAGGGGAAGAGAAAGAAAGAACGTCTGTGTGGGTGCCAGAGTGAGGTATAGGGTTTCCTGAGACTTGTTTTCCTGACTTAGCCGTTCTGTAAGCCCTCCATCCACTTCCCCTGTTACACACACACACGCACACACGCACGCGCGCGCACACACACACACACACACATACACTTAAACAAAGCTTCAGTATATCGTTTTTGAATAACGTCAGTATAAAAGTAAACATACTGTTGATATAATCATTAGTTATAAACCTAACAGT